AAAAAAAAAAAAAAAAAAAAAAAAAAAAAAAAAAAAAAAAAAAAAAAAAAAAAAAAAAAAAAAAAAAGAAAAGAAAATACTAAAGAACCTGAAAGAAATGGATGATTTTCTAGGAAAGTTGAAATGATCAATACTAACCTCAGATAACTAGAAAATCTAAACTATTTATCATAGAATAACTTTCTCTCTCTCTCTTTTTTGGATATGGGAAGTTCTTTATTTTATCATGTGAAACCATGTAACAGCTGCCTAACCACAACGTAGATATCAATAGAAGATGGCTCAGAAATAACAGGACTAGTGATTCAACTAGTGACCATTATGACAAAAGACATTGAAGTTTTCACTGATTTACAGAAGTTTGAAAATGCATTTTAGCCGGGCGCGGTGGCTCACACCTATAATCCCAGCACTTTGGGAGGCCTAGGTGGGTGAATCATTTGACGTCAGGGGTTGGAGACCAGGCTGACCTCAAACCGTGGTGAAACCCTTTCTCTACTAAGAATCCCAAAAAATTAGCTGGGCGTGGTGGTGGGCGCCTGTAATCCTAGCTACTGGGAAGCTGAGGCAGGAGAATCGCTTGAACCCAGGAGGCAGAAGTTACAGTGAGCCAAGATCGTGCCACTGCACTCCATCCAGCCTGGGTGACTGAGTGAGACTCCGTCTCACAAAAAAAAAGCATTTTATATTGAGTAGTGATTTCATATTTTCTTAAAAGAATTATTGTGTTAAACCAAAAACAATCTAGGTATAGCTTGGTCACATAACCAATCTATATTCAAAGACATGCTCACAAATTTTCCACTTAGTGCATTTTTCTGTTCTCAGCATTACTAGAAATGCCTCATTCCCTCATCATGTTAAATTCTTCAGCATCTCCTATGTCAGTTCCAGGGACATCTCTGGGAAGTAGTGATGGCCATCTTCCCTCGGAAGCACGCTGATAACCCTCATATACACACAGTTCATACCTTTTCCCTCTTCTGAGGTGTGCTGCTTTTTGGCACAACAGAAAATACACACTACTAGGATTTGAAAACCTAAAACCTGGGCCTGGTTACGTCATAAACTACAGAAACTTAGGTCTTATTCTCCACAGGCACCTTTTTCGCCACTGCAAAAGATAATTTATATTTGCTTTGTCTTTTGTAGTCATTTATTTGTCTTCATGATAACCCTTAAATTTAAGTAAGGTAGCATTATGCTCATTTTATAGAAGAAATTCAGCCTCAAAGAGGATACAGTCTCCCAAAGATCCCACAGTACTAATATATCAGGCAGAGGTAAATGCACACAATGTCACTCAGGATCCTAGGACTGCTACATGCTGTGCTAATAAGTTTGCTAAAATGGAGGAAGCGGCAATTTCTCAAGTCCCTTTCAGTGATTCTGTTCTCTGCTTCTACTGCTGTTTTTTCTCTCTTCCCTCAACTACTGTTAACATCTGAAACTATATATAATCACCAGATTTCATTTGCCATAGTTTTTTACTTAATTATTCTTTAAGTTTTTCTATTTCCATGTTAAATCCAGGGAAATGTTACTTTTCAAAAGTTTCTACTGCTGCCTGCCTCTGAAGGCCATGGGACTTACCTATTTGTTTATCAAAGCAAAAATTCCCAACATTTTGTAAACATCACTAATGTGTTTTTATAACTGTAAAGACAATTATTCCATATTTAAAACCAATTCAAAATAAAGTAAATCCTTGATACTTCTTATTTCCTGGAGTAGTAATTTTAATTAGATTCTATTGGTTCGTAATTTTCTCCTTTGTGCCTTTATTTGGGAAATACTGTTAGTCTACCTTGCTATTAAGTCTCTTTCCCTAACAAGAAAATGTCAATCTTAAAGAGTCAGGAAAGCTTTTACTTTCGCTATCACATATGAAGAATGAACTAAACACTTAAACTGAAAAGTAAAACTTAAATGAGGGATTCAGGACTTTTCCCAAAGGGTCATATGACCAATTTACAAGTTGGAATGATGTGCCTAAAATAACACATTAACTCTTTTACTTGTAATAAAGGTAAAGATGTACTGATTAGTCATGCTGACGTGTACATATGAAATATGCCTAAACCAAATTAAAAGAAAATACATTCTATGGCAATCCTGAAAAGTCAGGAGCTCAATAAATATTAAGAGTATGCTCTCACAATTTGAGAGCGTTAAACACTTGATAATTAATATAATTTAATATGCAAAAAATGAGAAAATATGCAGGATGAGGAGTACACATAGGACATTTTTGTGATTTTCTTCATTTTGATTGTGTTGCTTTCTTGTCTTCAGGAGGGAAGATTTGGTCTTCAAAAGTAACAAAATATTTAAGAAGGAAATTCACATCTTTCTGTTCTAAATGGTATTCTTGGGCTATTTTCTCAGCAGTCCATATTTCTGGGTAAAGTTTATGATTATTGAGAAGTGTCAGTGCTTCTACAGTGGAAATTTTGCCTTTGGGAATGCTCTTAATATTTATCATATCAAAATCATGGCTGAAAGGCAATCTGAATTCCTTCGTCTCTTGATGTGTTTCAGTAGCTTTTACCTGCACAGAAGATACAGGGTCTTTGGAATCCATATACACATCTTTTAGAAACGATAGCGGCTTGTCATCTTTATGAGCAATCTCTCCCTTAATTTCTGGATATAGACTAATCTGCTCTCACAGGAGGCTGTTGGTAGAGGGGTGCCTGGGAGCAGGAGAGGGCTTCATCTTGCTGATTCCCCGTTTCACTCGGTTCTCTAGGTTGAAATTCCTGATCCTGCGAGTCATTGCAGCCCCCATCTGCTCATAACATGATGCCCTCATGTTCACACCACACGTGGGAACACAGGCGCAAGAAACCTCCAGGGCACCTGAGAATAACTTTCTTCTACTGAGGCCTTGGTGATTTAACAGGGGAATTCTGCCAAACCTTTCAGGAATAAATCAGTCCAGTCCTCCCAAACACATACGCTTTAATAAATGTGGATATCTCTGGAAGGACACATGAGAAATTAGTAAACAGTTATTATTCCCAGGGAATGGAACTGGGGCTGAGGGACATTATTAGAAAGAAGTCTTGCTTTTTCCTGTATATCTTTTATGCCTTTTCTATTTTGTACCATTTGCATACGGTACTCATCCAAGTATGTGGAATTTAGAACATCTTTGTTTTACATTTGAACAAGTTGACAACAGTATTTGACGTTTGTTCTTATGTTTACCTTAAGTTCTCAGTAAATGTAGTAGGCGTAATTTCTTAAATACCTCTCTCCCACAAAGATGTCCAACGTAATTCCTGCAACCATCATGAATGTGATGCTGTATGACCGATTCTGTGATTATGTTATGCGATATGGCACAGTTGACCTTATAATAGGGAGATTCAAGCCTAGATTATCTCGGTAGGCCTGATGGAATCATATGAGCCTTAAAAGCAGAGAGCTTTCTTTAGCTAATGGCAGGAGGGAAAATCAAAGAGACTGGAAGTATGAGAAGAATGCAATGTGCAATAGCTGCTTTGAAAATGGAGGAGACCACTTGAGAAAGAAGGCAAGTAGCTTTGAAGAGCTAAGCGCAGCTCCCAGCTTACAGCTAGGAAGGAAACTGGTCAAATTCCTGCAACTTCAAGGAACTAGCTCTGTCAACAACCTGAAGGAGGTTGAGAGTGAATTCTTCCCCAGTCTCCAGATAAGAATCCAGCCCAACAGGCATCTTGATTTCAGCTTTGTGATACCCTGAGCAGAGCCCCGCAGAGCCCACTTGGGACTCCTGTCCTACGGAGATGTGAGATACTAAATGGATGTTGTTTTTAGCTGCTAAATTTGTTATATAGGAGTAGAAACTAATAGAGCAAAATGACGTCCTAAACCTTAGATACATGTGGGCTTTCAGAGGCTTTAGCAATGGGAGCCGTCTTCCCTCCCGTCTGGGTGTGGTGGGTAGTGCCAAAGCACTGCAGAGCGCGTAGGACAGGGTCATGTGTCAGTCAGAGGCCACATCATTTCCTCTGGTGCCATAAGTCGAATATGCTCTGCTGTCTTTTCATTACTTTCTTCGATTTTGTAGAGAATGAATTTTTATACCTGTCTCAGTCTTTTCCTCTTTTCAAATTATAGTCTTAGAAGCAATTTTTTGGCATTTCTGTTTTAAATAATATTGTATTTTCAATGAAGAAGTTGGCATTTATTTTTTATTTTTTAATTTTTTTATTTTTTTGCTTTTTCTTTTTGAGATAGGGCCTTGCTCTGTCACCCATGCTTGGAGTACGTGCAATCACTACTTACTGCAACCTTGACCTTCCATGTTCAAGCAACCTTCCCATCTTAGCCTCCTGAGTAGCTTGGATTACAGACTCTGCCACCATGCACAGCTTTTTTTTTTTTTTTTTTTTCTTCTTTTTGGTAGAGACACAGTCTCCCTGTGGTTGCCCAGGCTGGTCTCAAACTCCTGGGCTACAGCAGTCCTCCCACCTCAGCCTCCCAAAGTGTTGGGATTACAGATGTCAGCCAGTACACCTGGCCTTTTCTTTGGATATCTTAGAAAATTAACTCCTACCTTTCTAAAAATTCCTGGGTTTATATGATTGGGATTTAAATGGTCATGAGAGAAATTCCTGATATGGTAGTGCAGTCAAGTAACACTGGAATTCTTTGACTACTTTCGTTTTTCTAGAGTTCTACTTTAATTAACCCAATTTTGTTCCATTGACAGTTTTATCCAAGACTGAATAAACATATTTTTACCTTTTAAGTTGCTCTATACCAGAACATACCTTTCAATTAATTCTTTTAATTTAACAGTGTGGGAAGCCATTATTTACTTTTTATTTAATTGATTGTACTTTTGTACACTTTTACCTGGAAAAAGTAACTTTGAGAACCACAGAGAAGAAATATATCTGTAAAGGTCACTGAAGAGTGTCAGAGCACTCAAGAGTATGGGGAATTGCTTCTGTGATTCCTATCACTTCACATTCTGCGTAGAAAAAGCACTCAACAGAAATGCTGCAAGTCAGCGTCAGGAGTCCATAGCAAGTGCAATAAGACTATGAATCTCTGATACTGAGTTTTTATGCTTTTTCTTTTTGCTAGTAAGTTACATAGTCCAGTTTTTCTTTCTTAGATGACTTCGGAGGCTTGTTGTAAGCCTGCTGAGGTCAGAGAATGCTTCTGCCTTATATACACTGTATAAGTTATAAAAAGATTTATTTATGATAAAAGTGGAACCCGGCTGGGCATGGTGGCTCACGCCTGTGATCCCAAAATTTTGGGAGACTTAGGCAGGCAGATCACTGAGGCCATGAGTTCGAGACCAGCCTGGCCAACATGGTGAAACCCCATCTCTACTAAAAATATAAAAAATTAGCTGGGTGTGATGGTGCATGCCTGTAATCCCAGCTACTTGGGAGGCTGAGGCAGGAGAATTGCTTGAACCTGGGAGGCAGAGCCTGCAGTGAACTAAGATCATGCCACTGCACTCCAGCCTGGGTGACAGTAAGACTTGGTCTCAAAAAAATTTTAAAAAGTGGCCAGGCACAGTGGCTCATGCCTGTAATCCCAGCACTTTGGGAGGCCAAGGTGGGTGGATCACAAGGTCAGGAGTTAGAGACCAGCTTGGCCAACATGGTGAACCCCCATCTCTACTAAAAATACAAAAATTAGCTGGGCGTGGTGGCGTGTGCCTTTAATTTCAGCTACTCAGGAGGCTGAGGTAGGAGAATCGCTGGAACCTGAGAGGCGAAGGTTGCAGTGAGCCAAGATCGCACCACTGCACTCCAGCCTGGGTGACAGAGCGAGACTCCATCTCAAAAACATAAATAAATTAATTAATAGTAATAATAATAAATGAAAATAAAAAAAGGAGAACCTATGAAGGAAAATTTTAAAAACTGATTTTAATTACTATAAAGGAGTATCGCTAGTAGAAAAAGTGTTTCTATATTGTTAGGATAATCAAGTTTCTTTAAAGATAATATTGATTATTTTTAGCAGACGTTTGTTATTTATCTTTAGGAAATGGAATTAAGTGTTTTACTTTGTTTTGTTTTTAATAAGATCTCTCTAAAATGAATGAGACTCTATTATTGCTGATTCCGTTGTGCATTGAGGCATTTAGAGTAGCAAAAATTATATTAGTGGTCTATGCCAAAACACGTAAAATGGCTTTATCACTGGTCTCCATTATAAAAAGGTAATAATTTGCATAATGCGATAAGAATACCACTTGAAAGAAAGGAGGCTGGGTTTTTGTTTTGTTTTGTTTTTATATCCAATAAAATATGACTGACATCATCTAGTCAAATTATACTGAGCTTTATTTCCTGTGTAAACCGTATTTTACAAATATTATTTTAAAAGAAATTTAAATCTGCTGGGCGTAGGTTTCAGAGTTATACATAACTCACAAGTGAGCTGTGTGAGGTGAGTTCCTTAAAAATCCTACTCCTAGGTCTCATTTCAAAGGCTAGCTTTGTTGCAAAGACCAGCCTTGGCTTTGGTAGATTATTTTCTAAGATAACTCTTGATGAGCTTTGCTAAAGAAAGGGAGGTATGGTACAGATCACCTCATAGTCATGTGTGGCTCTCTCTTGCGTTTGGGGTTTTCCTCTGGCATGTTTATCTTCTGAATAATGCTTCTCTTAGGCTAAATATAGTTTGAACCCTCTACCTTATAACAGATGTGACAGAGGAATGCTGATGGTCAACAATGATGTACAGTTCACAAAGATAAAGAAGCATAATGAATGTCAGATTGCAGGCTGCCCATGGTACATCCAGCATCAGCATACTAATTTGCTTTAACTAATTTGGATCTCTGCAGCTTTGGGACAGTATTGCAAATAGGTGGCATAACAAGCTTAAATAACAGATTTCTGTCACTTAAATACAAAAGTCTCATATTTGTCACAGTAATATTATTGACCTCATGATTTTGTTTTTATTTTTTGTTCATTGACTTCATGAATGGTTTGGCAGGAAAACAGGTAATACAGTTGCATACCTTATATTACATACGTGCTGAAGTTAGATAATGTCACAGAGGTGTGCCCTTATTCATAAAACACTAAGGGAAGTGCCTTATTGTGTTTTATTAAGCAAAGACCTTTCATTGTAAAAAGTGAGATTATTCTTTTAGAAACTATATTAATTACTGAAGGGAATTGTGAGCAATAATACGTTTTGGATTCATAAGTGCCAAATGCTCATCTCACTAGATGACTATTATTCCTAATATTTTTCCATTACCTAGTTTTAACTCAGGAAATCAGTTAGACCCTTAAGGGCCTAAGCAAGCAGGAAATGTGATAGATTTATAGATTCCACCAGTGAATTAGAAATACCTTTTGCCTTTTAAATTATAACTGCAGTAGGCTCAATATAAATGCCTTTTTTTTTTTTTTTTTTAGAGTCTCACTCTGTCACCCAGGCTGGAGTGCAGTGGCATGATCTTGGCTCACTGTAAGCTCTGCCTCCCAGGTTTGAGTGGTTCTCTTGCCTCAGCCTCTTGAGTAGCTGGGATTACAGGGCACACCACCACATTGGCTAATTTTTAATAGAGACGAGGTTTTGCCATATTGGCCAGGCTGGTCTCGAACACCTGACCTGAAGTGATCCACCCACCTCCGCCTTCCAAAGTGCTGGGACTACAGGAGTACGCCACCACACCCATCCCATAAATGCTTTTTTAAATGCTCCCTCTTCCTTTCCTATGTAAACCCTTTTCAAATTCTATTTTCCCTGTGATAACAAAGAACAAATTACATAAAACCAGGAAGCCTGATTTTATATGAAGTGTGGAAAGTTGAATTACCATTAAGCCTAATTCTAGTAGTAGAGATCAATCTATTTCCGGCCTTATTCTGGAGGGTCATAGCAAACCTGAACCAGACAGCCAGGTAGACCACTCTGATGGCCTCGTTCAAGCTTAGAGCTTCTCCAGCCTAAAGACACTGGAGGAAACTTCTTCGCACCTTATTTAGTCCAAGAGTTCAGTTGTACCCTGCAGAACACTAGGAATAACTGTATCCTAGACATAAACCAAGGATAAGACATGCTTTTAGCTTCCATTGGGGCCTTTGCTTAAGAGTTAGAAGGGCTGCTTCGCATCTTAATTTTGCTGCTGAATAGCTATGTGACACAGGGCCTTTGACAAAAGCAATTAAGCTATAGGACTCCAGAGGCCCTGTCCAGCTCTTACATCACATGAATCTAAATTCCGCCTATAATTTCATAGGTTCCTGAAGTAAGCATTCCACTTTTATGGGCCTTGTTTTCTGCCCCTATTAAACAAAGACTTGTCTCTTGAGAGCCTCTTAAAAGCAGGTTTTCAAAAAGAAAGGCTCAAGTCAAAGACACTTTTTTTTTGAGACAGAGTTTCGCTCTTGTTCCCCGAGCTGGAGTGCAATGACACGACCTTGGCTCACTGCAACCTCTGCCTCCCAGGTTCAAGCGATTCTCCTACGTCAGCCTCCCGAGTAGCTGGGATTACAGGCATGCACCAGCACGCCTGGTTAATTGTGT